AAAGACCATAAGCAGATTGGAATACAGATTCAAAATCAGCGTTGAATGCTGCATCGAACAATTGGCAGCTTGCTTGGATTGGCCACTTCGATTTCTGACCAATTCCTTGTTAGTCGAGCAGGTCTTGTTAACTATAGATATCAAGACTCAAAAATAACATTCCTCGCAGGCAGTCAGTAGGAAGCACCAACTCTAGCATGATAACTGTGACGGCTCATAAAACAACCTTATGCATTTATCAATGGCTCGTAAACAAAGCAAAAGCATAAAATCTTGGCATAATATTTTCAGTCATGCATTTCATTCCACGATTTTCTCACAACTACTTTATATGAGACAGAGCTTATAATGGACAACAATGTGTTTTTTTACCATTTCACCGTAGTTATTTCCATCCAAATTGAAGACGGCATCCAACTAAATTTTCGTCTTGCTTGTCTTCGTCATTTTGAGGTCTTTCTTTGGCCCTTATTACGTATTTGAAGTACAATTTGCAAAAACTCAAAAAATCCCAATTTAGAGCCTCGTCCTGAAGGCACAGATGACTTTCAGTACCTAGATGAGCGGAGCTTGAAAGGGCATCTGTTGCTTGTTATCACAATCGAGGTTTCAGGTCTATTTTTTACATTCATGTGCCACATAAAAGAAATGCATCAACGCAGATGCTTACTCTGTTTACTCTTAGACCTTCTTGTAGCCCAGATATAGGCGATCCCGTGTTTATAGCGGGTGTGCCCTGCGGACATTTGAACACGTTGAAAAAGTTGTTGAACTTCCATTCTAAAGCATTACTTTTTTTTACTCTCTAGCTGCCAAAAACTGCCACACGCATACGTTGGCAAACATCGGCAAAGCTCCGCCCGCTTTGAAGTGGGGAAAGTAGGATATCAATAGGAAAGCATTTCTACCTAAACACTGCTTACCATCATTTTTTACCTTTAAGACTTAAAGTCAGTGTGCGAGTAAGATCGAGTGTCGTGGAATAGTAATGTATTGAGGAAAATAAAAAGAGTACAAAGTTTCGTTTCTCAGTATGAACAATTTTCTGCTCAAGGGAGAGACATTGGCTTATGGCTGTATCGTGCTGTAGTAAACAACTGTGTTTGGATGAATGAGACTGGACGAAGTGATGAACAAGGTAGCCCGTGCTAGGAATGCTGAACAATGTTGCTGCGATCTGATTGGAGATTTCTCAAGATCAATATTTGAAGTTCTAGCCTATCTTATATAAAATAATTTTATAATATTTCTGTTCTTTAAATCAAAGCTCTTGAGCTAACGCAGGGCTGTTTGAAAAAGGCTTCCTTGAGCACGTTACATGTGAAAGAAAATTGTCTAAACATTAGATTAGTTGTGTTTCAGTGCAGTTATGCAAATGAGTAGTTCTTCTTCTTAGTAAACATAAAACAAATTGTAATTTCTAGAAATTGTCTAAAACATTAGATTCGTTGTGTTTCAGTGCAGTTATGCAAATGAGTAGTTCTTCTTCTTAGTAAACATAAAACAAATTGTAATTTCTATAATACTGCTGCTTGCTGAAATATTAGGTCGCCTAAAGCAATTTCACTTTTTTCAAACGGGCGCCACATTTAATGGAACGAAGGTTTCTGAGAGATCTAAAAGCATTCAATGCAGCATATCATTCTCTAACAAATATGAAATTGTTGCAAAGCAATCAATGAGCTTTCAGAATATAACCAAAAGCGACCATGCTTTTTGAGATAGTCAAGTTTCACAGTCTTTTGAAACTTTCATATCAATCCTCAGAAGGAGATCAAGTAACGTTTGATAAAGCAAACCTTATAGAATACAGTACAACTTGCTTCTTTATTTCGTAGCTCGCCGTAATTTTTCAAAGGATTTTTTAACGAAACTATCGGATTTAGGCAGGCCCATATCGGCACATCGCATCAAACATCATACTTTTTCAGAATTTGAGACTACCAAGATGGTACTATGGCTTAGCACTAATTTTACAAAGCAAGCAAGAGTTTATGGGCTCGAAATATCAAATTTCGAGTTCTTCGGGTGCAGCCTGAGGCTCGCTAAAAAATGAGTTATGATGATTTCGTCCCCGGAAACTAAACGAATCGAAAACAAAAACACTTGTTAGAAAGAGGAGAAAATGCTACATCGAATAGTGCCTGAGCTGGTCTTTTTTTGATGTTCTACGAGGATTTAGCTGTCTAAGTATGGAAATCGGTAGCATCAGTTAGAATTCTGTTAAAAATGTATGACAAGCTATGGAAAGGAGAAAAAAAGTAGTTTTGCATTCTGTATGGTTTGCTCTACAATTGTATGACAAGCTACGGAAAGGAGAAAAAAGTAGTTTTGCATTCTGTATGGTTTGTTCTATAATGTATGACAAGCTATGGAAAGGAGGAAAAAGTAGTTTTGCATTCTGTATGGTTTGCTCTATAAAGAGGTTACTTGTACTTTTTCGGAGGGTTGATGTAAAAGTTTAGAAAAATTGTGAAAATTGACCATCTCAAAAAGCATAGGCCGCGAATTTTGGTTATTCTCCGAAAGCTCATTAAGGGCGCCGCAACAATTTCATAATCATTAGAAAGAAAATGAAATGCTGCATCGAATGCCTCCAGGATCTCTTAGAAATCTTTGTTTCATTGCATGCTGCGCCCGTTTGAAAAAAAGCGAATTTACTTTTGGAATGACCTAATAAATAGCGCAAAGGGTATATCCGCCAGAAACTTTTAAGTTTGGAGAATGTGGCTCTTCCTTTCTTTGATGCCAAAACATCCTTGCTGAGACTGATTGGCAAAGATTCATCACAAGCTATGAATTAGAATTTTGAGGCTTCAAAGTTTCAGTGCGAAGTCACAGTTTAAGAGTGCCTACTTGACTTGAGCATCTCATCGTTAGTAATTCTTTAGAGAGGAGTACACTATCAAGGAAAAAATTGTGAATATATCCGTTTAGGCTAGAACTAACAAATACCTAAAGCTCGCTTGGTATTATACTTTTCAACATCATTTTCATTCCAGCAAAAAACATATTGTTTCAAAAAATAAGGCATTTTCATGCTTAACATATTGACATCCGCAGGAGTACAGTGTGCTCATTTGCAGCTACCATTTATTTTGGCATATACCTGAGTTAGTGTCATAACGGTACTTGTCAAAGGGTTGGCTACAAATGATGTTTAATATACAAACATTTTTATCAATCACTCTTTTTTATCAACTTCAAACGTACGATACCAACGATTGTTCCCCTCAAAAGTTAACAGGTTAGGCCTCGAATATATCTCGCGTGATTTCTCCAAAGCGGCGATACACGATCTCGCAACTTGCCAGATGTCCTCCAATTTACAGCGTGTGAAATTCAAGCGCGTAGGCGCGTAACATCTTATGCGTACAATGCGTTTAACGAGGTCATCACCGCGTAGCGCAATCATACATCTGCGCGCGAGCATACCGTAGGTGCAGCGTGCAGGGACCGTGCTGCGCACAACCTCGCGGGCATTGTTTTTATCATTGTAACTCGTGATTTTCTGTTCTTGTAACAGCGCACTGCCATTTTTCTTGCTTCTATGCTCGTATGCGATCTGTCTTGATACTGGATATGATTTTTTTCGCAGCAAAGGAGGGAGGTATCAGTTTTTCGAGCGTTTTTTCTCATGTCATCTTTCATTTCATCCAAGCCTTCTTCTGATGGCTGATTCAGATATCATGATTCATTATGTCGAGTCTGTTTCAGCGGACATAATTGTATATCGTCTAGGTTTAAGTTAACAGCGCGTTGGCGCTGTTCACTCAAATTATTCTCTCAACCTATAGATATACGATTACACCTCACAAATTCACTTTTGGCTGTAAAGAGGAAGAACATCAGCCTTTCTCACAATTCTTAAATGGAATGATTTAGACTACATTTTCTTTCCTCGAACCTCCATTTTGTCTTTCAATTTGCGCAGTGATACTTTGAGAGATCAGAAAGAGCAGTAAAATTAGAGTTTTCGACAGGAAAAGCTTAGAAATTTGGGAGCAGGACAGCGAAAAAGCTGAGAAAGAAGGCGGAAGAGTTGCTAAAACAAGGACTACGCCGCTTTGCATGGCATGGTCCCTGCGCGCTACAGCCCACGGTAGCGCTCGCGCGCAGGCGTGTGACTGCATTACGCAACGCTGACCCCCTTCGAACGCATTGTACATGCAAATCTCGTTTGCAGGTATGTGTCGACGGTAGACAAACAATCGTAGCAATTAGAATTTGCGCGACGACGACTAGACAATCCCTTACAGAGTGAATGCAGTGAAATCGGAAAACGGAGAACCGCAAAGCGTGGATAGAACAGATACGCATTTTCGTTTGTTAACAAAATAGCAAGAGTCATCAATAGAATCTGTGGATGATTTTTTTTTATTCAAAGACAGTAAGACTGTCAAGGTGTACAAACTCCAATCAAATCGTTTGGCAATGCCACTTATTACAGCTGCGTTAATGAATGACACTTTGGTAACTTATCATTTATAAATCTGTTTGGTGCTTATTGGCATGGTAGACCTGCACGCCGGAGAGCCAAACACACCCGAAAAATCCAAGTGTCTCGTAATCATCTTGCGGCACATGCGCTGCTCTCAAGTTGAGACTTTTACAGTCGGAATCAGGCCGAAATGTTGGCGTAGATTTACCAGTACTAAGGGGCTGCGCTGCACATATACACTGTTGGGTGGAGCGAAAAGAAAGAGAAAGCGGACAAAAAGCATTAGACATGACATAAAATCGTGGCTATGCAAATGCGCATCACTCTTATTTGGCCTGATTCAGGTTGGACAGATCGCACAAATTCGTCTATCCATTTAGTTGATTACCAGCAACAGAGAATGTATGCGGCTGGAGAACATATTCTTATGATCAATGCAGATTTATTCCCGTCCTTCAGCATAACATTTAGCTGAATGAAAACTAGAATTCTTATTGTATTCAAACGAGCACTTACATGCAAATTTGCGCTTTCGATGCATCAAAGAACGTCAGTACGAACCCTTTATACTGATGGTCAAACAGTTGATTTAATTCATTTTCCTTGCTCTTTTTGAATAACCTTCTTATCAACCTATTGTCTACTATTTTGTCTGCCATCTCCGCGGTTATGTACTAACATCTGCGCATTTAGATTTAAGAAGGTGAGATCATAAACATTCTTGATTTTTGGAGCAATACTATTTTGTTACCAAATTACCTATCAATAATCATTAATTAGCAGTGATAATGAAAGATTTGAAAGCCACGTAAAAAGTTTGAAAGCAAGATTTTTAGAAAAGGTCAAGCCTTAGATAGTGATTTCAAGCACAAGTGTTCCATTTCAAATTTTTTGATGCATTCTCTTCCATCGCCAACAATACTCTGCGGTGCTCGGTGTGCCTATTCATTGTACTTACTGATGGCCTGTCATAGGCAAAAGTCTAAAAAGATTTGAAAATCTGACCGTATACATATTTAAATGAGCATGTATCTGAAGATGAATCTCGCCAAGCTGAGTCGAGCGGTGCCCTTAGAATCAGAACTCGTCCACTCTGAACCAAGATATGGCGATGCGACGCGGACTTTGGCGCAATCCGATGGAGTTCTTCGATTTTTTGACTAGTTATAAGCGCCAATACAGATGGCTTGATAAGTTTGTAGAAGGTCAAACTGTAGCAATCCGCACATTTTTAGCCTGCCATTAATGGCTCAATTCATCAAATTGGATTGCAACATCTGCAAAAAACAACGACTATATGTCTGTAGCAATTCCAGTCATATTTCTCCCCTCTCAGGCTTTCCAACCGCGGTAAAAGAACGCCAGAATGTGCACTTTGATCAATACCTCCTCATAGTCACAAGCATGCAAATTGCTGGAAAGGGAGATCACGAACAAAAAAATCTTTATATTTCAAAACTTGAACATTTGGATTTTATGCTGCATCTCCGTCTGCAAATACTTCTTCTGACTCCACCATGAACACACTATACAGGACGTATCGCATAAGCAGTCATTGTAGCTTTCTCATCGACCCATGATTCCCAGCGGCTAACCAACTTTTCTTCATCATCATCATTCTTTTTCCTTACTTGCCAACGAACCTCAAACTGAACCTGGAGAATTCAAAAACAACTTTGGTTGATTTTTGATAAATTTTGATGAGAAAAAAAATTCCCGATCTCCAAATTTTGAAAATAATTCGTTTGATAAACCACGTAAATTACTTTGATTTTACAAATACAATAGGCACCTTATCCTCCCAAAATTTAGGTAGCCTAAACACGGCGAAGCCTTAGTACAAGAAGTCTTTACCGTGTTGCACCTTGCAGAACATCACAAAAAAAGCGACCAATTCAAAGCAATGCATCTGAGCTGCTGCCCACATTCGTCAAAGTAAATGTGCCCTTGTAAACCTAACACTATCTCAGACACTCGTGATCAGGTCCCGCAAGAGTCTTGTCAAGCAGTCAATATTCTTTTGGCCCCTCTCCAAGTTTCTTCAGTCCGCACCACCCTACTATGCACCCCACAGGATACTCAACTTTTGTACATTTTTGTGTTTTGCAGACCTGCGTTTTGTTGGCTTCGGGTTCCTGACAGATTGCTCCTCCTCCACTTCCTCCTCCCCACCCCTCCCCTATTTTTTACCCTTAGGTCTTTTACTTGAAAACTTTGCAGCACCAAACTTTTCTCGTATTCTCACACTTCTTAGATGCGATTCAGTCTCCTTTGAGTGCCCCCAAGCCTCTGTTCTTACGCGTATAAAGTCTGATTACAGTCTTATTTTGCCTACAGTTCTTCAGATTCAGGCAACTTGACTTGCCTTCTGCAGCTTCATGGTTCTACGTTACGTCTGCGATTTGTTAGATGATTGGCTGAAATCTGTTGTTTTTTGATCTCTTCCGCAATGCTATGAGCGAGAAAAGCACAAACTCTGCGAAGGGCATGTTTTCAAGCCAACACTTCGGATTGATTACACTTGAGGCAGACTGTAATTGACAAAGTTTCTCATTTCTACATTTCTACATTTTCTACATTCAGCATTTTGAGAAAATCTTCAAACGCTCTTGAACATTTACATATGCTGAAGTTTCTCTGATCTAAGTGGTCTTTTACACTCGCAAAATTTACACCCAGCCATGCGCTTATATCCTTTGACCGTTTCCAGCCAGAGCCCCTCCCAACATTGAACTGTTGCCTTGAATTAGACTACTCTTATTTCTTCACTGAAGTAAATCAGCAAGAGTTGCATACCTTCAATATCCAAGTTTCCTAATGTGAAATTTTCATATTCAAACACTGGCTCTTTCTCTTCACTAAATCTTTTTGAAAGCGTGCATAAATTCTCATCGAGTTTCAAAAATTATTATAAGGGCTCGTAGGAGCTTTATAAGGTGTCCAAAGCTTTGAATGAGTCCAAAATAATCCACAATCTGATCACTCTCTAACTCTCAGCAGACTACTGATCATCTATGAGGAGACCAGCTGCACACTCAAGCAAGTCTCCGTTGCTTACAGGCCAGGTATCTCAATAAACTACAATTACGATCGCAGTAACTTCGCTTCACATTACTCTTGAAATTCGGAAAAGTTTGTGGAAAAAACCCAAACGCTCCAAAATATAGTTCTTTTTGTCAGGTTCTTTCGTTAGAACCTACGCGCCTTTTGTTTCCAAATCTTGACGAGTTTCGAGCAAATCGCATAATCACGCTGTTAGCATTCTGAAAAGGCATCCATATCAGATAGTAAATATTTGAAGGTGCAGGCAGTGCTGAGATGTCAACTGGATTATATCAAAGATTTCCAAAAATTATTGAACTTTATAAACACCCTTCCTCAAAAGAAAAGTCAGACCTTTTAAGAAGTCGCTCGTGGTGTTTCATAGCGCGATGTCATGATAAACACATCGCCTATTTCCCACGTTATATGGGGCGGAGCTTTGCCGACGTTCGCCAACGTGCGCGTGGCAGCTCTTGATACCAAGAGAATATAAAGCTAATGCTTTGAAATGGAGGTTTCACAAGTTTCCAACTTGTTAAAATGTCTGCAGAGCTCACTATACGCATGAGAATCGCTTATAACCATAAAAGCCAGCAAAACATTTACTAATGACGTCATATTTTGCACGCTGCATGGGGTAGAGTCGTCGGTGTAAAAAGTATGAAAATAGGCGAGAGTGCAAAATTTCAAAGAGACCCTCACAAACAACCATTGTCGTTTGTTGATCCCCCCCCCCCCCGCCGCCCCCCTGCGCCTAGAGTACCAGTCCTGAAGCGCTATTTCGCTGCGCTTTGGCTGGCTGTGCGCATGGGGTAAGATGTGTTCAAAAGTCAGAACTTTCAAAGTTCTGTCCTTAAAACTTTCCAAAAATATAGCATAAATCCCTTTCAAGCACGCATAATCTCATGTAGAAAGCACTAATAGTAGTAAGTTAGTCTCCAGTCTTTATCTTCCAAAGACTGGAGACTAACTTCTATCTTACATTCCTTAGGTGACTCTCAAATAGCTACAGACCACATGCTGCATTATCATCACAATCCTCGCTAGAAGTTTTTTTTGGAAGTCCACCAGTTGCTTGCCCGCAGTCCAGCCCGTTTCCATCGTGCCAGTACCTTCCTCTCTGCCCCCTTTCCTTAGCCTTCTCCCGCTCCCTACCTCTCCTCCCCCTTTAACCTCTACATTTCATCTACTTTGTACAAAACACCGTGATCTTTGTTACGTTTATGTTGTGTTATGTGTGCGGTTTTTCACCCTCAAGAGTTTTGAGCAGATCCTGCCTCCCCCCCCCCCTTCCCCTTCCCCCCGCAACCCTTTTCTCCATTACTTTCCTTCTCCGACGAAGAACAAAGGAGAAATAGATTAGAAATGAACTTATTGAATGTTTTCAAGCGTTTTTTCGCAAAAAACCTACTTTATTTTCATTTTCTTCGAGTTCCCCACATACGTCTCTATTTTCGATTCAGTCCTACCTTTTTGGTTTTCTTTTACTAGAGCCTTTAATCGCAAGCGTTACCATAGAATTGATTCATCGAAGATATTTCTATATTACTTATCAAATTTCAACTCTTTACAAGTATCACACAGAATTTGCTGGTTATAATGCAGGCTTCTTCAATCTGCCAACAGCCAAAGTCATCCCGCGGTCTGCCTGTGGTGAAGTTCCCAAGTCTTCGAGGAAAATCGGACATGTCATTGTTGACAAATCTAACCCGTTTTATCCTCAAAATCCAGAAAGCACAATCTCAGGCGCCCCTTTTCCTCTCCTCAAATTCTTCTTGAGAATGCTTACGATTTAGCTTCCAATCATAAAATTCTCTCTGCTAAAACTCTGTTTTCAACGTCTTCCCTCCTTTGAAGCCTTTTTAGCCTGTCCCACTCTTTTTATTGTTACAATTCGGCACAATATCCCACTATTCTGGGCTCACAGTATGAAATGTTGAACAGTTAATAGAAATATGTCTGTCTGTGTATGACAAGGTGCAAAGATTAGCACTTCCAAGGTCTTAGACCTCAAAATGGTTTTTTTGATCTTTCAGATATTGTGCTGCTGACATCTTTCTATGACAGCAGAGGTCAAAATTAGGACAAATTTCCAATTTAGCTCTCAACTCATTAATCGGAAAACTTACGTTACCTTTCTGTTACTCAATATGATATGTTGATATATGCCTGTATATATATATATATATATATATATATATATATATATATATATACAGGGTGTCCCAAAATAATGTGCACACTGTTTGATTTTGAATAACTCTTTTATTATGAGGTCTTTTGAGAAGCGGTAAGCGCCATTTTGTAGAGCTGGCTTCAACTTAGATTTGCAGTATAGAGCGAATCACCGACCGCTCTTCATTACTGTAGGATTACGGTAGAAACTTCAAAGAGGGTTTTGGGCCATGAAAGACCATATTTTGCCTTAAAAAGGAATCAAAACAGCCTAAAAACTTTTACACTAGGCCAAATAGAGCTGCTGATTCTAACTGTAAATTGCCAACTTATTATGATGCTTCATTGAAGAGTTATGCCGGGTAAGAGGTAGCGGCCATTTTCTCAATGCTCCTAAAAAGTGCGGTCAGACCGTTTAGAAAGCTTCGCAATCTTGAGAATAGTTGAGTATTGAATTCAGCGTCTCTAAAAACCCTATTACACAAG